CCCCCCTGTCACAATAACTAAAACTATAAGGTGTGAGAAGGTGAAATGTGACTGAACAATATGGTGATGGTGATGTTGCTGCGATGTATAAGCCAGTCTCAGGAGTAATATTAAAGTCCAAAAACTTCAGAATCAGGGCTTTTACCAGGTACTTCATGTTAGTTTTTGCTGCCCACATGGCAAAGCCTTTCTGAAGAGTAGGGCTTTCTAGGTGGAATGTCTACTGCACTGTACAAGATTCTCTTGAGCCTGTTGACAGAAAATCTCTCTTACTGCTGGTCATCTAACCAGCAAACCCATCAAGTGCAATGATTGGTGCCTAGTGTAGTATCTGAACCCTAGTTCTCATAGAGAAGGAAGGAGGGAAGTTGATTGAATACCTGCAGAAAATTAGACAAAACTGCCTTGGCCCATAGGAATCTATTATAATATGCCTGCTGGCAGAACATGGGAAACTTCATCATTTTCATGAACTATTGTGCAACTCAGTTACCCTGTTCAAATTTGTGTTGCTTCTTTCTTGACTCCACAGGTTAACCCCTTTGTAAAGACATTACTGGGAAATGGCAGTCAAAGAGCTATTATATGTATTTGGGTGCAATATAATCATGTCTGACTTAGGTGAGTGGTCTATCAAGATCCACAGATATATGAACAAGTCTACCTGGTTTAACAGGGAACCTCTACCCTGTTATTAGGAGGGCTTGGGTTAGACAGCTAACGAGGTAATTAGCTACACCCAGCCTCTAGGAGAGGACAGAAGGGACAATCACATGACCAGAGGGAGGCTGGGTTGGAGAAGACAGTACCTAGACAAGGCAGCCAAGTGGCTCCTTCCTGCAGAAAAATCACCTGAGGAGATTCTGGGAAAAACTGTCTTGGAACAGTTTACATGAGATCTGGAACAGTAAATTAGGGACTGGGTGAGGCACCATCATCCCCAAACCCTCAACAAAGCAGTGAGACTGGCCGAGGTTTTTTGTGGCAGCCAAAAAAACAGGCCCAGCATGAGCACAAGCATGGAACAAAGGAAGCCAGGGAAAGGCCGAGGCTCAGCAAGAGAGCAAAGAGGCCCCAAGAGAAAAGTCAACTGTGCCTGGCAACAGTGGACAGGCTTGTTTCCAATGCAAGCATTAAGCTACCATTGTGGTGGCAAGCCAAGATTTATCACGGAGAGTCCAGTGGTGACTTCAAGCAATAAAATAGAGAACTCTAGGGTGGAAGATATGGAGTGCAGCTGTGGGGCTATAATGTGTAGAGAAGTGGGTCGAACACATATTCCACAGCTTATAGTGAATGTGGAAGTAGAAGGGAAAGCAGTGACGGCTCTGGTACACTCAGACTGCAAGCAGACACTCATTAGACAAGGACTGGTGCCTGAAACAAGAGGAAAGAAAGTTGAACCTCATACCCTGGTTTTCCGTCACAGGGAGGCAAATAAATATACCAGCATTCCTGTGCAACTGATGGTAGCATGGCATATACATACTCTGCAAGTGTGTGTGGCCTCTAGACAGCTTTATCCAGTGTTGTTGGGGTGTGTAGAAGAGTATGGTGAGTGGGAGGAAGAAAATCTACACTCGCTCCTTTCTCCTTAGTATCTAGAAGTCAAGCAGCCCCAACAGTAAAGGGGCAAGACACAGGAGTGGTTGAAACAGGGCAACTGCAGAGCCTGCTCAGAGGCAGCAAACGGAAGAAGCCCCTAGACAGGTCTGGGAGAGTGGAAAGGACTAAACGCTTACCTACAGAGCGCTCCAGTGGAGGGGAGAAGTATCCCAGCAGGGAAAGCCAGTGTTGCAGAGAGCTCCAGGAGAACACAGAGATGGTCTGGTCCCCTTAAGGTTCCCACTGAGAAACAGAACCCCTGGGAAGAGAAAGTCCTATTTGGAAACACTAAGACAGGGCTGGAACAGCCCAGATAGTTTATAACCTCAGAGGAGGAGTCACTTAATGTTAATTCAGCCCAGGTGTCAATACAGGACAGATGAGCTACAGCAAGGGACCAGAAACCAGCATTGATAGGATGGGAATGCAAGGCAGAGAGCCCAAAAGGACACATCCAATAGTGAGAGGGAAAACCCTGCATTGGAGACCAACAGAGTTCAGGGGTGAGGAATACCCCGACCATATTTTTGCATTTTTGTTTCTAATGGACTGCAGAGGCTTCCTGGGAGTCATACAGGAAGCTACTGAGAGCTGCTCCTAGCTGTGATGCCTGAACAGCAGAGCCTGTACTTAAACCTGGAGGACTGGGACAGGAGTGGTGGGGTTGGAGGAGCCCCCTGTAAGGCCTGTGAGGTTCCTTTACAGGCCATAACTGATTCTTTTGGATTATTGGACACAGCCCTGCTGGCAGAGCTGGTTCTTTCCTTCTCAGGGAGAGAATTCTCCAATTATTACCATCAAGTCATGGCAGGTAAGTGCCCCAAAAAGGCAGCATACCCCTTTAGGGGTGCATGGCACTGGTTGAGCCATATACAAAGGGACTCACGTACAGGGTGTTGTTGGCCCTGGGGTTCCCCAAATTATTGACAAAGATACTACGGGAGAATGAGGCTGAAGCTCAGCATGAAGGAGGGTTAGTGGGGCAGGAGGCTGTAGCTGCTTATGGGGAAGAGACCCAAAAAGAACAGGAATCTACTAGGGCAGTGCAAAGCTTTGGTAGCCGATTTGATTAGGAGGAGATTCAGCCCGATTTGCTGGTCAAATCTCTGAATACAAATCAAATCAGGAGACCAATGAAAAGGTCCAAATCGAATTGGAAGCCTCCAAATCGATTTGGAAAAGATTTGTGCCACTTCAGAAATTCAGCCATAGACTAAACAGGCAGCAGTCCTCACCATGCTGGACACAGCTGCCTCCAACTGGTAAGTCTGTTGTGTTGGGTGGAGGGGGGAAGGAAGGGGTGTTGGGAAGGCAGATCAATGCCCCCACAGAAAGAGAGAAATTGGGACTGGGGCTAGGACAAGCTGCCCAGCTGGGGCGGGGGTGGGGTGCAGGACTTGGGGAGAGGGGCAGAGCAGGATGGGATACAGGCACAGCAACGCTGCGAGCAGGGGCTACACTCTACTGCTGCTTGCCCTCTTCCACCTGGAGTGAGCTGTGCCTGCATCACACTCCTCAACCCTGACTGGGGAAGCAGCAGCAGGGCATAGCCTGCCACTTGTCCACCTGGGCCAAGGGCACATGGGATGCATGCACAGAAGTGCTGGGAACGAGGGCTATGCCCTGCTGACACTTGCCCAGCCAGGGTAGGGACACAGGTTATGGGCATGTCAGTGTGGGAAGTGGGGACTATGCCCTGCTGTCGTTTGCCATCTTCTGCTTGGAACAAGCTGTGCCTGCAACCCACACACCCCCCCCCCCCCCCACCCGGGGAAGGGGCAGAGGGGGAAGACTCCCCCCCCCCAGCTGCC